TAAATCTCCAGATTAATCCTTTTAATCTCCACGAATAAAATAAAAAGAAATCCCAGGAGCATTTGTGACGTCCAAGGCTGTGCCCGGAGGTTTCCAGCTATGGGAGAAGGAGCAGAAAAAGGGAATTATTTCTGTTTTCCAAGGTGGAGCCAGGGAATGCTCTGAGCTCCCAACTCCCAGCTGGGAATGGGAATAAACCCACCCAGATTCCAGATTTTCCGCCCCAAACTTGGAGCTGCCCATCAGCCCTGGATTTCTGTCAGCAAAGCTAAAACTCCCAATTTTTCCTCTCTTTTTCCTCCGATTCTCCTCTTTTTAGCCCTTCCCAACCTTTTTTTCCAGGGGAAAACAGCTTTTCCCTTCTCCCAATTCCTTTCCTGCTACCTCCAGTCTCACCCTAATCCAGATTCCTCCCCAGTTTTGCCTTTTTGGGATGATTTTGGAAGTGGGAAATGAATCCCACTATTCCAGGGGCTGCTGTGGGAGCAGCCAGCTCAGAAATAATCGGGATAATTTCACCCCAGGGCTGGGATTATTCCCCCAAAATCCCAAAATTTCCTCCCCAGAGCAAGTCCCTCGTGGTGGTGTTTTTAAGCATAAATTAAAAATTAATTTTGAACTCTTCAGGCTGCTGTTATTTTATATATTCAAAAAGAAGGGGGAAATTCCTGTTCTCTCCTGTTTTTTCAGGCATTCCCAGGATTTGCCAAGCTTAAATCACACCCTGCTGTCTCCAGCTCAAGGTGCAGCAGGGCTGGTTCCTGTCCTGGAGGCCAGAGAAAGAGAGCTTTAAAAATCCATAAAATCCCAAGGAATTCTCAGCTGAATTTACCGAGTGAATAAAATCTCAATGAATTCTGAGCTGAATTTACAAAGTGAATAAAATCCCAAAGAATTCTCAGCTGAATTTTAAAAATTAGTCCAGTCCCAAGGAATTCTCAGCTGAATTTACAAAACTGATCCAGTCCAAAGGAATTCTCAGCTGAATTTACAAAATTAATAAAAAGCCAAAGAATTCTCAGCTGAATTTTAAAAAGTAATCCAATCTGAAGGAATTCTCAGCTGAATTTTGGAAATTAATCCAATCTGAAGGAATTCTCAGCTGAATTTACAAAGTGAATTAAAATCTCAAGGAATTCTCAGCTAAATTTACAAAATTAATAAAATCCCAAGGAATTCTGAGCTAAATTTACAAAATTAATCTGATCCAAATGAATTTTGAGCTAAAATTACAAATTTTAAGGCAATTATTTAAGGAATTAATTTCCATTTAAAGGCCTCAAGGCCGCCCCCCTCAGCTCGTGCTCCTGATCTCTTTTATCCCCTGGATCAGCTGGAAATGGGGTCAGGAGCTCCACACCAACCCCTTGTGCTGGATCCACAGATGCTCCCACCAAAACCCAGAGCACAAATTCCATCCCTGCACCAGGAATATTTGGGATGGGAGGGAAATCTGTGGCATTTTAACCTGGAATGGCACAATGTGTGATTCCCTGGCTGGGAAAAGGGGAAAATCAGGGAAAAGCTGAAATTTCGGGGAAAACCAAGGAGAGGCTGAGCCTTCCCTGCTCCCAGTAGAGAGAAAAACCAAAATGTGGGAATATTTCTGTGGGATGCAGCCTTGCTCTTGGATTTAATAGAATATCACAGGTTAGGAGGGGGATTTTTAATTTTTACATTAATTAAGCCGCAATTAACGGAGCTGCACCAGCCCTGCCAAAACCTCCCTCTGAAAATGCCGGAGCAAACATTCCTGGATAAACCCAAAGGCACAATCACACCTGGAATTTCACATTTTGGGCCATGGGTCAATAATCGATCCAGTTTTGATATCAAAATTCAGATTCTGCTGCAGGAACGCCTCTGGTTTTAGGGAATTCCTCCACACCTCAAAGCTCCCATCAGGAGCAGGGAATGTTTCCCAGGATCTGCAGCTTCTCCTTGGATTTCTGTCCCCCTGGGGGGTGGGGGCAGGACAGAGGCACCCCTGGCCTGAGGGGGCTCAGAGGGGACACGGTGACATCCCAGCGTCCCTGGGGAAACATTCCCAACACCAATCCCAAATCCCGGGGATTAGAGCAGAGCCTGAACCTTCCCAACACCAATCCCAAATCCTGAGCAGAGCCCAAACCTTCCCAACACCAATCCCAATCCAGGGGATCAGAGCAGAGCCTGAACCTTCCCAAAACTTATCCCAAATCCTGAGCAGAGCCTGAACCTTCCCAACACCAATCCCAAATCCTGAGGGTCAGAGCAGAGACCAAACTTTCCCAACGCCAATCCCAAATCCCAGAGGTCAGAGCAGAGCCTGAAGCTCCCCAGCATCAAAGGGGCTCCCCCAAAAATCCATGAAACAATTTCTGGAGCACAACTCATCTGAAGCACAGCCATATTTTAAATTTGGACAGAAAAGCCTCCCCAAATCCACCCCCCACTCCAAAATTCCCATCTCATCCACTCCCAGCACTAAGGCTTTGAAAGGTTATTCCCTAAAAACAGGGATTTGATTTAGCACAAGGAGCAGGAAAAACCCATCAAACACGGGCTTTAATCCTCACTAAAAACCTTCCCTGCTCCCTGAGCTGGCCACTTTGGATAAAACAATGTTAATTCCAGAAAAAAAAGGAAAGGAAAACTTCCACCCTGACGGGAAAGCAGCAGCAGCTTTTAGAGGCAGCTTCCACCCGGCTGTGATTAATCAGCTTGTCCACCTTGTCCAAATAGTCCATCGAGCAATAATTAAAAATAATAAGCCAGAAATTATCAAATCACACACAATAACTGCAGAGCTCCTTCCCCTTTCGCTCTTGTTTATTGTTCAAACTTGTCAAGCCCCTCGCCTCGCCCCGAGCAGCCTCGCAGGGAAGGCAGAGCCCCTTCCAGCAGATGGATCTGCAGGATGAAAAATGTCCTAATTCTGACCCTTTCCATTCAATCCGTGACCCTCCCCAATTGTCCCAGCGCTCTTTCTGCCAATCAGCAGCAGGGCCAGGGGACAATCTGTTGTCACCAGGTTTTGCTCCTCTCCAGGTACATTTTGGTCAGATTTTGGCTCCAGCTGAGGTCAGAACAATCTCCTGCCTGCGTTTGCTTTCATGTTCTGCAATAAATATATTAACTGAGATTTGGGGAGCTAAACCCCAGCATGCACCACCCTAGAGCTGGCATTACCCAGGGAAAAGAATCCGAATTTTCACCTGTAATACTTGCGGGAAGTTTGCCTTTATCACCGCAAATAACAACGCAAAATTCAGCAGCCCTCTCCTGGAATATTGGATATTTAGCAAAGGAAAGAAATACAACTCTGGGAAAAGGTCCTTGGTGTTTCAGGAATAAAAAAACCCCAAATTCCCCTGGAGAAAAGCCCCGCTCTGCTCGCAGTGCCCCTGATCCTGCAGACAAAGGCTCTGGGACAGAGCACAGCCACTTACCTTAAAACTCACCCAGAGCAAAAAAACTACTTCCCAAAAAAGTTTGCAAGAAAAAAAAAAAATCATCACCAGAACCTCAGGAAAAACTAAAACCAACCAAGGAGAGGGTTTCGAGTGCGTTTATCCCCAGCTCCTTCCCCGCTGCCATGTCCTTTTTCTTTTTAATTTTATATTTTTTTTTTAATTTTTTTTTTTTTTTTCACGTGCCTTTTCCAATACCTTGAAACCCCCCCGGTCAGGGTAAGGACGACAATCGCGACAGGGCACGGAGGCGGCGTGTCCTTTTTCTTTTAAATTTTATATTTTTTTTAAATTTTTTTTTTTTTCACGTGCCTTTTCCAATACCTTGAAACCCCCCTGGTCAGGGTAAGGACGACAATCGCGACAGGGCACGGAGGCGGCCGCTGCCCCGAGGATTGTCCGGCCGCACAAAGGCTGCAAATGAAAAGCAGCAAATGAAAGCGGCTTCCAGAAAGCCCCAACTTTAACGCTCGAGTTGCAGTGAAAAATTCTGGGCTCCGGGCTTTGGGAAAGGAGCAGAGCCCGGAGGTTTCTGCCCCCGAAAGGCGCTGAGGAAGAAGGAGGGAGGTGGGAAGGGGCGCAGCTTTTTGGGCAGCTCCCACCAAAAGCTTTTTTGGGAGCCTGAAAAGCCGGGATGTGTTTTATTCCCCACCTGGACGGGGATTGCAGGGCCAGCCCTGATCTCACGGGGACCCGCACGGCAGAGCCGCTCGGTGATTCCTGCACAGCCGGAGCGTTTCTGTAAAGGGAAATATCTGCAGCTCTCCACAGATAACCCGGGCAGCTCCCGGCCCTGCCTTCCGAGACTTCATCCACTCGGCAAAACTTTGATTTCTGTGCAGAGGGGGAGGGAAGAGGCCGCTCCTTCCCCGGGCACGGCTCCAGGCCGGGATGCGGGACCGGGGATGGGGAACCGGGATGCGGGACCAGGATGGGGAACCGGGATGGGAACTGGGATCAGGATGAAGAACCAGGATGGGGAACCGGGATTAGGAAGCGGAATTGGAAACTGGGATGGGGAACCGGGATACAGGATCGGGGTGGAGAACAGGGATGGGGAACTTGGATGCGGGATCAAGGTGAAGAACCGGGATGAGGAACCGGGATTAGGAAGCGGAATTGGCAGCCGGGATGGGGAACCGGGATGAGGGTCCCGCAGCCCGGTCCGGCCGCGCAGGGAGAGCCGCGCCGGGGCCACCGGGATGGGGAATAGCGATAGAAAAAGGAATAACCGGGGAATGCGCGGATGTCGCAGCGCGGGGTGGGCGGAGGGACGCGCCGGACACCCCCTCCAAAAAGAAAAAAAAAAAGAAAAAAAAGAAAGAAAAAAAGAAAAAGAGAGAAAAATTTTTAAAAAAGTTTAAAAAGGAGAAAAAGCCAAAGCGCCGCAGCGATTTCGGAGTCTCCGGGGCCGGCCACCCGCGGTACCGGGGGGGTTCGGGGGGCGCGCCCGGCCCGGCGCGGCCCCCCCGCGCCCCGCGCGCCGTTCCTGAGCCTCTGGCGCCCCCTCGGGACGGATGCGCGCGGCGCGCGGCGGGCGCAGAGCCGCGCTGGAGACCGGCGGGGCCGCCGCGCCCGACACTGCCCCGGCGCTCGCCCCGCTCCCGGCCCGCTCCCGGCCTCGCCAAAGCGCTTTCTCCCTTTCCTCGTTTCGGAGCTTTTTGGTTTTCTTGTTTTTTTGCAATTTTTTAGCGGGTTTTTTGTGCTGAGGAGAAGTGATAAAAAGTTTTTTTGCGAACTTCTCGCGGTTCTTCCCCCTCCTCTGCGCAGCCGGTGGAGACTTTGTTTCTCCGAGTTTTTACTTTTTTAGCCCATCCCTGCCCCTTAGCGCCCAACTATTTTATTTTCTTTTTTTATTATTAATTTTTTTCGCCCCCTTGTTCCCCCTCGGCCGCTTTCTCGCATGAATCTCCTCGACCCTTTCATGAAAATGACAGAAGAACAGGACAAATGTATCTCCGACGCCCCCAGCCCCACCATGTCGGATGACTCCGCCGGCTCCCCCTGCCCCTCTGGATCCGGCTCGGACACGGAGAACACCAGACCCCAAGAGAACACCTTCCCCAAGGGCGACCCGGACCTGAAGAAGGAGAACGACGAGGACAAGTTCCCGGTGTGCATCCGGGAGGCGGTGAGCCAGGTGCTGAAGGGCTACGACTGGACCCTGGTGCCGATGCCGGTGCGGGTGAACGGCTCCAGCAAGAACAAGCCGCACGTCAAGAGACCCATGAACGCCTTCATGGTGTGGGCGCAGGCGGCCCGCAGGAAGCTGGCGGATCAATACCCGCATCTGCACAACGCCGAGCTCAGCAAGACCCTGGGCAAGCTCTGGAGGTGAGTGCGGGGCCGGGATGCCCGCGGGGAGCGGGGGATGCGGAGCCCGGCCAGAGGATGTTGGAAACGCGCTGGGAAAAACTTCTGCGGAGTGCAAAGCCTGTTAGGTCGGGATAGGAGGGGGGAAAGCTGGGAAAGCCGTTCGCTTTGTGGTGTTGGAAGTGGTTTCTGCTCCCGGGGCGGGGGGACCGTGCGGAGCCCCCCGGGCTGCCCCGCCGTTGTTTGTTTGCGCCGCCGGTGCGGAGGAAATGATGGATTTTGGGGATTGCATCAGCTCGGGCCGGGCCGGAGGGAGCGCGGGGCGATGCGGGGAGGGACGGAGCGAGGGTGGGTGGCGCAGGGCCGGGTGGCCTCCGAGTGCCAGAATCAGGCGGGGACGGGAGGAAAACACGAGGCCAGTGAGTCACCTGGGCCACCGCGTCCCCGGGGACGGCGCGACGGGCGGGGGGATCCTGCAGCGCTGGAACGGGGCACCAAAGCTGGCCCTGGCCGGCAGGGTGTCCCCAGAGCGCCCGGGGACAGCCAGATGTGCCCACAGGGTGGGGTGGGCGAGGGCTGGACCCCGCTGGACTCCTGCAGCTCTGGTCTGGCCACCGAAGGAATGTGGGGGACAAGAGGGTGACAACCAGAGAGCGCCGGGGACGAGGGGGTGACAACCAGCGAGTGTCCCGGACAGGGGGTTCAGGCTGTGGGGGGCTTTGCATCGCTCTTTTGGGGGGATCCGAGGGAGGGATCGGCAGTGGTGTCACTGCTCGGTGTGTCCCCCCCGAGCCACAAGTGACCCCGCGCCCCCCGTGTCCCCCCAGGCTGCTGAACGAGAGCGAGAAGCGCCCGTTCGTGGAGGAGGCCGAGCGGCTGCGGGTGCAGCACAAGAAGGACCACCCCGACTACAAGTACCAGCCCCGGCGGAGGAAGTCGGTGAAGAACGGGCAGGCGGAGCAGGAGGAGGGCGCGGAGCAGACCCACATCTCCCCCAACGCCATCTTCAAGGCGCTGCAGGCGGACTCGCCGCAGTCCTCCTCCAGCATCAGCGAGGTGCACTCGCCCGGGGAGCACTCGGGTAGGTACCCACGGAGCCCGCGGGGGGCACGGCACAGCTGCCCGAAGCTGCAGCCCAGCCCGGGCTGGAGGTGGGGTTGGGTGAGGGGAGGGGAAGGAGAGAGCCAGGAATGGAGTGAGAAGGGGGAGAACTGCCCACGAGCTGTGCCCAGAGCCTGGGCACACAAATTGTCGCCCCATTGCAGCCACTGTTTGCTCATAAGGAACACGAACCCATGCTTTTAAAACCCAAAAAACCACCCTGCTGCAGCTCTGTCTGTGGGGCTGGGCTCCGTGTCCCTCACACCGGGACACGCGCGTGCCCCGCTCACCGCTGCCACCCCTGCCACACCCTCACCCTCTCCTTCCTCCCGCAGGCCAGTCCCAGGGTCCCCCCACGCCGCCCACCACCCCCAAGACGGACCCTCAGCCGGGCAAGCAGGACCTGAAGCGCGAGGGCCGCGCGCTGGGCGAGGGCGGCCGGCAGCCGCCGCACATCGACTTCCGCGACGTGGACATCGGCGAGCTCAGCAGCGACGTCATCTCCAACATCGAGACCTTCGACGTCAACGAGTTCGACCAGTACCTGCCACCCAACGGGCACCCGGGCCAGGTCACCTACACGGGCACCTACGGCATCAGCGGCGCCGCCGGTGTCTGGATGTCCAAGCAGCAGCAGCAGCCGCAGCAGCAGCCGGTGCTGAGCGCCGAGCAGGGCCCGCAGCAGCAGCAGCAGCAAAGGACGCACATCAAGACGGAGCAGCTGAGCCCCAGCCACTACAGCGAGCAGCAGCAGCACTCCCCGCAGCAGCAGCAGCAGCAGCAGCTGAGCTACAGCTCCTTCAACCTGCAGCACTACAGCTCGTCCTACCCCAGCATCAGCCGCGCGCAGTACGAGTACGGCGAGCACCAGGGCTCCTCGGGCTCCTACTACAGCCACGCCGGGCAGGGCAGCGGGCTCTACTCCACCTTCAGCTACATGAGCCCCACGCAGCGCCCCATGTACACCCCCATCGCCGACACGGCGGGCGTGCCCTCCATCCCCCAGACGCACAGCCCGCAGCACTGGGAGCAGCCCGTCTACACGCAGCTCACCCGGCCCTGAGGGAGGGGAGGGCGCCGCCAAAAAAGGCGAAAGAGCGACGGGAAAGTGTTGAAAGAAGTCAGAAATGCGCGAGAAAAGCGGCCAGGACGAGTCGCCTCAGACTGAAATTGAAATGATCATTAAAAAGACGCTCACGTGGAAGCTGCGCCTCGAGCCTTCTGCACTACAGCATCCTCCAGGACCCGCTCCCAGCCCCGAAATTTGGGGCAGACTTGCCAAGGACTGGACTTGAACTCTGCTTCTTCCAGCGTGGAGAGGAGATTTCCACCCAACCCGCCCAGCTGGCTCCTTCTCTGGACTTTTGTAATGATTTTTTTTTTTTTAGCAGTAATTAAAAGCAAGATAAAAAAATAAAAATAAAAAAAAAGAAGAAAAAAAAAAGGGGGGTAAAAGAGAAAACTCAGAGTCCTCTGTGAGGAATATTCTCTATTTTAAATATTTTTAGTATGTACTGTGTATGATTCGTTACCAATTTGAGGGGATTTATACCTATTTTTTAGAGATTTTTTGAGATGCTCTTATTTTTCCAACAGCTAAAAAAAAATGACACTTAGTGGAGCAGCCCTAGGTTTTCTTGCAGAGGTATTTTTGTATAGAGAAGTGTCTTTTTTTGCTCTAAAAATGAAACTAAACCAGCGTGCTCTGCCCTGGGAACCCAGCACTGGGGCAGGGACCAGCATGGGAGAGGCTTTATTTTTCTAACTCGTAGCAAAACCAGCCAGGAGGAGAACTTCACTTTATTTTTTAATAACCTTGAGCCTTAAAAGAAAAACAAAAAGAGGAAAAACAAAATTAAAAAATCCATGGAGCAGCCCCGAAGTGCTGCTGGAAGCCTTAAAGCAGCCCCTGATAATCACTGGCCCCGGGCTGGGGCTGACCCGACCCCTCCGGGCACCCCCTGCCCACCCCAGGGTGCCAAACCCAGCCAGGGGCTCCTCTCTGCCTGGGAGCCGGCACAGATCCTTTAAATTATTTATTCGGGGAGAAGAGCAGCTTTTAATCACCGTTTTCCTTGGGTTTTGTTGTTTTAATCTCCCCCCAAAGTCCTTTCAGAAGCGTTGCATTAGTGGGAGCATTATTTGGAAGGTGACCGTGCCTGTTAAATTATGGTCTGAAACTGTAACCAGTCCTTTATTTATCTCTTTAATTCCTTTTGGTTGTTGTTATTATTATTATTATTATTCTTTTTGGAATCTGTGTCCTGGGTTTGTACAAACTTTGTGCTCTTCCTTTTTTTTTTGTTTTGTTTGAGGTTTTATTTTTTTTTCTTTTGCCTTCGAGGAGAAACTGGAAGAAAAAAAAAAAAAACCTCAAACAAAACAAAACAAAAAAAAAAAAAAAAGAAAAATGAGATTTGTACAAACTAAAGATTGCAAATGTAGCGGATCACTGAATCATTTGCCTTGTTTCCTGCCTCAGCTCTCTGGGACACACCAGCTCGTGCAAGGACGAGCCCCACACCCCGGCCCTGCTGCAGGGGTGGCACCGTTTTAGCCTTCAACCCCCCCAAAAACTGCCTGGGAGAGGTGGGGGGACACTGATTTTGGTGAAGCTGTGGCTGAACAGTTAAGGATTGCTTTTTAAAAAAGACAGCAGACTTTTTTTTATTTAAAAAAATGATATATTTGTTAACTTTTTTTTTTTTTTAGGGATTCAGTAGGAGAAAAAAAATCTTAAAGCACTCTTATAATATGGCATCTTTCTATTTCTGTATAAAAGCAGATCTTTTTAAAGTATTTCTGTAACTTAAAAGACCTGTCCTTTAAATCATATTTTGTCTTTAGGTAAGTTTGGTTTGGTTTTGGTTACAAGATCCTTCTCTTTGTGAAACTTACCTTTTTTTTTTTGTTTGTTTTGGTTTGGTTTATTTTGTATATTATTGTTTGCAATAAATATACATTGTATCAAAAGTTGCACCTGCCCCGGGTGTGGGATTTATTATCAAGATTTGTTATCAGGGTTTTTTTATCGTTTTATCAGGGTTTTTCCTCAGCCTCCAGGGGACACGGAATGCTGGATGGGTTTGGGTTCATGGCTGAGAGTTGGGGTGTCCCCCCTCTTTATCCCAGAAAAAGCAGAGCCAGGGAATAAATGGGATTGGGGATGGGCAAATCCAAATTCCAGACTGGCCAGGTCATGGTGTCACCTCAGAGGGGACACCTGGGTTCCAGCTGTCCCCAAATCCTGCTGGCTCTGCTGCCCCTGGGGTGTCTGCTGGATTTTAAGGATGCTGAGCACGAAGGGAGAAAGGAGTGACCTTGGGCTTTCAGGTCATCCTTAAAAAACTGCTGAAATCCTCCCAAAAAAACCCCAATTCTCCCACCAGCCCAGCAGGACCTGTGTTGTCCTCAGGGATCAATGTCCCCTGTCCCTCCCCGGGAAGGAATGACCCCCCCGGCTCAGCCCAGCTTTGGTTTTCCAACCAAACCCATCCCTGCCCTGCTGGGCTCTGGAGCAGCTCAGGCCAGGCTTTGTCACCTCCCCCTGCTGCTGTCACCTCAGAGCTCGCTGGGGACACAAATCTCTGCAGGTCCCTGCAAGGCCTCAGATTCCAGCTGGGAAAACTTCTGTCAAATGTCCCAACTTGTCCCAAATTCCCCCTGGGGCCGCAGCTGGCACGGGGCTGCTGTGGGGCACTGGAAAAGCAGAGCCAGGCAATAAATGGGATTGGGGATGGGCAAATCCCGGCTGGCCAGGTCGGGCTGTCACCCCAAAGGGGACAGCTGAGCTCTGGATGTCCCCAAATCCTGCTGGCTCTGCTGTTCCTGCTCCGGCCTGCCCCATCCAGGGCCAGTTCCAGCAGTCAGGTGGAGATTTTATCCCCCCTGGAATCTTTCCTGGCTGGAAAGCCCCTCTGATCCCCCAGAGCTGCCGGCCACACAAACCCTCCACACCTCTGCAGAGCATTTTACACTTCAGCCAAGCAGCCGAAGGGATTCATTAACTCTGAGCATTAATTGGGGTCGGTGTCGCTCTGCTGTGCCATGTGGGAACTCTTTGATCCCGGACATTTCTCCTCCCCGGCATTTCCCCTGCCCCGCTCGGACTTTGCTCGCTGCAAGTTTTGGCCTGGCTGTTTTTTGGGACAACAGAGCAAACACAGCTCCTGGTTTAGGGTGAGGAAGGAGCTCAGTGGGGCCACGAGCAATTCCATAAAGCACAAAACGCTCGTGTGGGTGGGATGGGCTGGAAAAGGGCCCGGAATTAGGACAGACAGTGCCTGGCCCTGCAGGGCTCTGGAACAGGAGGGACCTTTCTCATCCCACCCCAGTGGGAGCGGGGCAGATCCCACCGGGATTCCTGGGACATTTCTGTCCCCACCCCGCCGTGCTCTGCTCCCCTCTGTCCCCTTTTCCAGAGCAGAAGCATCCCGGGGATTTCTTCCTCACAAAAACCCCAAAAGAGCAAAGCTCCTGCCCCAGCCTGGCCCTGCCATTCCAGCTCTGCTCTTGGAGCGAGCTCGGAAATTTTTGGGGCTCCTCTGGCTAAAACCGAGCTGGGCACGGGGCAGCTCCGAGCAGCCCCGGCTCGGGGGACACCCAGGGAGGGGAAAGCGCTGGAAATGCGCCCGGCTGCGGGCGGCAGAGCTGGAAAGCAGAGCGGGAGGGTGGGGAGGGACCCGGGAGCGCAGGGAACTCCGGCAATGCTGCAGGGCAGGTTTGAGCCGGGACTGATGCCGGGCACCGGCAGAGCCCCCAAAATTCCTGCAAGAAATCGGGCTGGGGGTGGGCAGAGCGAGGCTGAGCCCTTGTTTTTCTGGGTTTTTTTCATCAGTTTTAATGAGCGCTGATAAAAACACATAAAAGTGGGAGAAAGTTTCCAAGCAGCCCCGCGGCCGCTCCCGGGGACATCCCGGCTTTCCGGGCTCGGTGTCGGCTGCTCCCTGGGGAGATGCAGTTTGCATTTTTTTTTTCAGCCAGCTGTTGGTGCTGACACGGCCCTGGAGCCTCGGCTGTGTCCCGGAGAGGAGCAGGAGCCGCGCCGGGAGCTCGGGATGCGGAGCCGGGGAGGGGCCGGGCTCTCCTCTGCCCTTCCCGGGACCCGTCCCAGCAGGAAAAGTGAAAAGCAGCGGAGTTTCCCCGCAGTTGGGGTTTGTTTCCCTCGGGATGGCGGCAGGGAATTGCAGCCACCCGGGAGAGGGTGGGAACAAACCCAAATCCCATTTCGCTGCCCAATCTGGCTCAAATGTTTGGGTTCCAGGCTGCAAAGATGGGAAAAGTGGGGAGAGCGGGGAGCTTCGAGACACAGGGCACAAAGGGCTCAGAGGAATGAGAGAGGACAAAGTAAAAACCACCAAAAATAAAACCCGAAGCTCCTCTAGCACCTCCTGGCTCTGTCCTGCTGGGAATGAGGATGCAGATGGGATTGGGATAGATCAGTGCCCGGGAAATGCTGCCAAGGGTGCTCCGTGCAGGGCTGCAGGACACGGGGACACTGCTGTCCCCTCTGCCACCCCCACTGTCACCCATCGAGCCCAACACAGCAATGGAGGGAAGGAAAAGGCTCCCCCAAACCCGTCCTGCAAAGTCCCCTCCAGTGAAGAAGGAGCCCCTCTGGAGCAGGGAGGGGTCATCCCCATGGCTGTCCCCACACCAAGCTCCCAGCCATCCCACAGATCCCAAAATTCCCAGGATCCACTGTCCCATACCCAAATCCCATGGAGAAAAACTCCATGGGCATCTGCACCCTGCAGTGTCCAGATCCATCACCCACAATCCCAGTTTCAGGGGGAAATCCCATGAGGATTTAGACACTGCACAGTCCAGATCCACCCCAAAATCCCAAATTCAGGGAAAATCCCCATGGGGATCTGCACCGTGCAGTGTCCAGATCAACCACCCAAAATCCCAATTTCAGGGGAAAAACCCCATGGGGATCTGCACCCTACAAGGTCCAGATCCACCACCCAAAATCCCAATTTCTAGGGGAAAAACCTGTGGGGATCTGCACCCCACAGCCTCCAGACCCACCACCCAAAATCCCAATTTCAGAGGAAAATCCCATGAGGATTTTGACCTTGCACAGTCCAGACCCACCCCAAAATCCAAAATTCAGGGAAAATCCCCTTGAGGATTTGCACCCTGCAGTGTCCAGACCCACCACCCACAATCCCGTTTCCAGGGGAACATCCCATGAGGATTTGGACCCTGCATTTTTCAGATCCACCACCCAAAATCCCAAATTCAGGGACTGATGAGCCCCACACTGGAGTTTCTCACAGCTGGGAAGGATTTCCCCCTCCGTCCCCAAGGTGACAGCTCTGACGTGGTCCCCCAGCCCAGCACAGGTAGGACAGAGTTTCTGTCCCCTCCCAGTTGTGTCAGAAAGAGAAAAAAAAAAAGCAGTTTTACATCTGATTTTCCTGCT